CCTACCACTAGACCTTAAGCAGCCGTGTCTCAGTGAAGACCCTGGGAAATGAGGCTGTCTGCAGTACCTTGGTCCACAAAGCAAGCACAGTGACAAGAATCCACAGTAGCATCTGCAGACAGTGGCTCCCTTACCAGTGTACAGACAGACACAGCTCCTTCCGGTCCCTAGCATTACTGCTAGGATCACTGGGTGGGCAGGTGATCCTTAACAATGATTCAGAAAAGCTAGAATTGGCTGTATACAGCTTCAGGAACCAGAGCCCAGACCAAGTTTGGAAAGCCTGTTACCTAAGACTGACATAGATTGTCACTTTCTGAGTCCATTGGTGGGTGGTGCTGGTGGTACGACAAAGGCCAAGCAGAGGTACAAAAGAGTTCATAAGGGAATGGAGGTGTTCACAGGTGATTTAGGTGGCATCCACCCTTCCCAGAAGAAATGTTTGCAGAATACACTTTGATATCATAACAATACAATTCTACTTGGCTTTCTCTGTCTTTCACACATACGCATGTGCACACATTACCCTCACAGATTCAGAACACAGTGGTATTTTAAGTGATCAAAATAAACACAGCTGTTTGTGAAGCATCTTCCAAGAAGAATTTATTATTTTTAAAGGGAATCTTTCTTGAGGAATATACAACAATGAAAATTTGTTGCATATTTGCTGTATTTCTACTTTAACCACATCCATTCTAGAATATGAAGATTTCACTATGGAACAGTCAGTGTATTCATTAGCTTAATGCACATAAAAATTGATGAACAACGTTAAATTCCAGTACAAATTTTGCTTGTAACCACACATCTCTTATTTTTGCTTTTATGGAATATTTCTAAAGACAGCTAAAAATAATTCATTCTTTTACCCCTTAAATACTTTCAAATGTAAAAAAAAAAAACCTCAGTATTATTTCAGAAATATTTTAAAGTAATGTTCTTTGCTATATTTTTATTGGTGACTCAAACTCCCAAAAGTTCTTGGAGGAGAAGAAAAAAATGGTATAATTATTGCTCTTTTTAATACAATGATTAAATTGAGATGACAGTGATTCATAGAAAGAGTGACATAGTCCATCGTATTGCTATGATAGAAATTTCTATTTTGATAGTATATTATTATTTTCTTTATGGAAAAAATTAAATGTCCACAAGTAGATTTTATAGTAATAGTTTTCATGCAACCTAAATTAAACATCGGAATATATTCTTTTCTCAGATTTCTAGGTAGATATAGTTCAATAATTGAAGAAATTACTAAGTATTCAATAACTAAACAAATAAGCTAATATTTTAAAAAGTAAAACCACTAAAAAATGAACAATAAAGATGAAACAGAGTAACTAATTTTCAGGTTTCTGTTTGAAATTTCTATTAGTTGGCCTTGTTATTTATTTCCACTGATATTCTCTAGCTGCATTAGACATTCACCTACTAGCAACATAACATATAGTACACAGGTTTCTCTTTGGACTTTCAACCAACAAGGTATTATTTATCTGTGTTTCAAAAATAAAATTAGTCAGGCAGTTAGACTTTCCCACCACTACAAGTGCTTCTGTCTGAACCCAGAGCTTCCTTCAATGACTGGAAAATTGTATTCCTCGATGATCCATCCTGTGGTTTTTTTGTTGTTGTTGTTGTTTTTTTTTTTGGTTTTTCTCCGGTACCGGGAACTGAACTCACGACCTTGCGCTTGCCAGGCAAGTGCTTTGCCGCTGAGCTAAATCCCCAGCCCCCATCCTGTGGTTTCAAGTCAGGTTTGGAGTATTGCAAAGAACATCACAGCCCCAAATTAATGTAATAGGCTATCCTTCAGTTCTGACAGAAGTGGAAGAATTTCTGAAACTTTTGTACTCACAGGATATAATATAAACTTATTTCTATCTGAAATTACCTTAGAAAGAGCAGTATAACTTTAATGACTAATTTATTAGAATTTCTTCTACTTAAAACAATTCTGTTTTTTATAATCCCTTTCTCTCTCCACCTGCTGGGATGATCTCAGGCTTGGAGAGTATGTGTATTTCCCAGGCATGATTTTCTGTTGAGAAGATGGCCCTGGAGTTGTGCACATAAGTCCCGAGAGACAATCTCTTCCACATAACTTATATATAAGTATTCTTGACCTCTTCACTTCCTACTTACTGATTCTGTTTCCACTACACACGAGAATAAACCCAACTGTGATAAAAAGCAAACATGTGGCTGAAGAAATAGAGACACATGGATGGGGGCTCTGGTTAACATGCGAATATGACTGAGACCTCTTCTATCTGATTGGGAAAGCAAGGTAAGGATCAGGACCCCTTTTACACAAAATGGTATTCTTTGTATTATCTTGTCAAAGCTGAAGGATGCATTTTGGGGGAAATTTAAGACTACTATGAAAGCCTGGGAACAACCAAAACCTGCAAATTGAAAGTACAAGGGTCAAAGAGCATAGGATCTAAGACCTGAGTCTGGTCCTGGCTCAGCACTAAGCACCTGAGTGACTCAGGGTAAGTCCTTCTATAAGTTTTATCCTCCTCTTCTCTGAAACAAAGGGATTAAAGATGATCCACAAGGTATTTGTTCTTCAAATGTTGGCATTTAATAGGTCCTGCATGGATGGATACTGAATACAAATGCCTACCACTGCTGAGGTTAAAAAGAAGAAAGAAGAAGGAGGACAAGGAGGAGGAGGAGGGGGAGGGGGAGAGGTGGGGGAGGGGCTGGGGAGGGGAGGGGTAGGAGGAGAAGAAGAAGAAAGAAGATTGTCATGGGATACACCCTTTGTAGACTTTCTAGACTGAACCAAAGTGGAGGGAGTGCAGAGCAAACAGTGAGGTGAAAAGTCAGTCTCAAAAGACTATACAGAGCCTGTACAGATGCAGAAGTAGTAACATTCCTGGGGCAGAAACCAGAGGAATTCTAGTAGAGATATTTGTATACAGGCTGCATTTAAAACATTCAACCAAAATTCCTGGATGGATGTATGATTTTCTGCAGGCTCTGTACAGTATAGCTTATGACAGAACAGGAAGTTAAAAAGTGGAATCACACCCACAAACAATTCTTAAAGAAATGAGGTAGTATTGGGAGGATGAGGAGCAGTCATCGGAGATTTGTAGAAGTTTCAGATAGCTGGTACTAAGGTATGTTTATATGTAGATGAAAATCATGTCAGAAAGACTGGAAATAACTGCAACATCTGTTTCCTTGAGGTGGTAACACTGATGGAAGCCTCAGCTTCCGAGAGGATGACGATGACCCTACCTTAAAGAGACAGGAGTGAGCTCAAACGGGAATGAGTCCCCTCTACTCCGGGCCTTACCTTCTTTGCAATAGAAGACATTGAGGAACATTTTGTATGGGCTAAGATCAAAAATATGATTTCCCTAAACTCACTTATGGTGTTAACACAATTAAGCTTCCTTTATCACTAGGCTCTTTACAAATATATAAACGATTAGGTTTCATTCGATAGGAAAGACAACAATGGCACCATTTGCCCAATCTTGATGGTATCCCTGTGCAACCAAACATACCAAATCCTGGATGGAACACTCATAGGATCTGGGAGTGTTTCCCCTAATATAAATGTCCTTTTAGGGGATGCAAAACAGTTTCTGCATCACGATTCAGCCATGATTCTATAGATTTCCCTCTTTTACACCTTCTATGGGAAAATGGAATTTGTACAAGGTCTCTAATTGAGAAGACAAGGATAATGAATAAGAATATAATTACTTTAATCCATGATACATTTTGAGGCAGAAGAATTCACTGACATCTGATGGCAAAACAATGGTTAGCCTCTACATTTTTCCAAAATATATTCCACTTTTTATACCAACCCTAAGGTTAGAAAATTATAAATAGAACTTAGAAAATGCCCTCTTAAAAATATTATACTGCCTACCTAACTGCCTTGTAGATTCATATACAATCAGATAACACAATTTATATGAAGGAACTTTGACACTGTAAATGGTATGTAAGTGGAGGGCAAACACTTAAATATAAACCAGCAAAATTAAAGTACACAAAAGTCAGTGGTTGGGCTTTGAGTACAGAAGCAGGAAAATACATATATTATACTATGTTATAAATTTATTTATTGGTTGACATTTAATAACTATGCACATTTATTGGATAAAATGTGAAGTGTTGATCTATGAATGTACTGTCAAAAGAGTCAGGCAAGTTAATTAATGTAACAGATATTTCATCATAGTGGCCACAGTTCAAAATATTTCACTGTATATTTCAAACTTGCTAGTAGATCTTTAACATTCTCACCACATAGGTAACATTCTCACCACCTTTTAGTGGAGGATTTGGGATCCAAGTACCATTGAATGTCAGGGCATAAAAGTCCATATTTGTTAACCTCCAGGCAATAAGAGTGCACAAAAGCTGAGCAATTATAGAAGACAGAGCTGCTCAGACTTTTATTTCCACATGAGCCACTTGGGAAACTTGTGAAAATGCAGGTTCTGCTTCAGCAAGCCTGGGGCAGGCATGGAGCGTCTGCATTTTTAACTCCCAGGGGCTGCCCAGACCACAGTTTGAGTAGCCAGACTGCAATACATGGGGCCAGCTACTGAGAGAGCTGGACAAATAAACGGACTGGATGAAATAGGGTGAGGAAAGCCTGAGTGTGGAGATTTTTCAGAACGAGATTACAAGACTTGCATGTGTCATAGTCATAAGCTGAGATGGAAAGACGGAAGCACAAGAGGTATAAGGGGTGAAAGAAATAATCAACCACCAGTAGCTATATGACGTTCTTCCTGGGCAGTGCTTTCAAAACTCCAAAGCAAGAGAATACCTTCAGGAACGACAAAGCTGCCCTCTGAAGAAGGGCCTGATAAGCCTTTAGGAAGCATTTCCTTGACTTAGTAAATATTTAGGTGTTCCTAGATTTTGAAAGAAGTGTATATTTGTTAATGGATAGACTAACGTGTAAGCTCTTTAGTCTAACTCAATACTATACTAATACTATCACTTACCAAAGTCTTGTTCCTGAATAGGACTGTCGGGTGCTTCTTCTAGGAAAAAGCACAAAGGACAAATAAATATTCATAGGGGTCGATGATTTTGGACCTAATTACCCATCAATATAGTCATCTTTCTGAACCTAGTGAAGATTAGCTGGTTAGAGGATCCCTTGTATACAAATTCCACGGCTATTCAACTTCTGTATATAAAACAGGAGAATATTTGCCTATCTTCCCCCTATATTTTAAATCTATACACTATATATAATACTTAATACAATGGAAATGCTATGTAAATAGTGATTGTATTTATCGTTAAGTATGTAAATGTAGGCCTGATTCTATACCACATATTAGCGCCTACCTAACATTTTTGATTCATGTTTGGTTGACTCTGCTCACATGAAACCTACAGATGGTGTGTAGGGTATGGAGGAGGGATGGCTATGCAATAACCAAAGCCACTGATAGTGAGTATTTAATCTTACAAAGCTAACCAAAAGTAAAGGCAGGAAGGTGCAGGAGGGGTGAAGTTTGAGGTAAGAAATACAGCTGTTAATGCTCCCATTTTGATCAGACCTTGTACAATGCAGGTCATTTGTACTGACTCAAAAAATTCATCACACAAAAAATTTATCCCCAGAAAATAAGGCACTTTTTAACTTTCATTTTCTGTTCCTGCTTAACCCTCAGAAGACATATGAGTCCTGAAAAACTTAATATATATATGTGTGTATACATATATATATGTATATATATATATACATATACATATATATACATATATATATATATATATATATATATATCATGAACTTTTAATTATATGCACAACACCCTTTGTAGACTAGGGGGAAAAGATAAAGTTCAAATTCATTGGCCCCACTTGAACCAAAGCATATGTGTCTTTAGGTTAAGTAAATCTTCCACATGGTACCCGGGAATGTAGCCTCTTCAATGTGGAAGGAGCAACTCTGATTATTTGGTAGAGTGGCAGGGAGGAGAGGTATGCTGCTCCACCATAAACAATAAGAGCATTCTAGTTGACCACATTTGGGGAAAATATGCCAAATATATTTAAATACCACAAAGTGTGAGCTTAGTTGTCCTATGAAAATGGCACATGTCACAGTTTTTCTACCATTCACTTCTGATCAAATGCTAGCTGATATAATGATCGTCATCAGCCTATGTTACTGTAGCAACAAAAATTATTATCCTATGCTTCAGTAACCTTGTTTGTAGTTCTACTTGACTCAATTTACAGAAAAATATAATGGAGAAATACAGAGAAGTGTGGAAATGCAGAAAAAGGCAACAAAGAAAGGGTCAGAAAATGCATCCCCCCCAAAAAAAGACAAAAAAAGAAAATGCATTCCACATATGAAGCACTTCACACAAGACAGAAAAAAAGGTAGAAATGATGACCACATTTGGGGATTCATGAAGCTACAGAGCACATGCTTTACTCTAACAATGTGGCACCAGGGCCACAAAGAAATAGCAAGACCCTGTCTCTCCTTTGGAATAGGTTTCAGTCTAGTGAGAATGAAAATTGTACCATATATTTTGAGGCATCAATAATGCATGGAGTGGCATCATAATAAGATATTGGAAAAACTAAGGAAGTGTGATGATCAAAGTATGGACTATGACAGCAGGGATAGTTTCAGGGATTCAAATTGAACTATGGACCTAATGGCTTCTCACATTTTTCCACAGCAGATGCATAGTTTATGCCAGTTTTATCCAGGTCCATGAAATTGTGAGAGCAGTTTAGATAAAGCAGTGACATTCAACATTTTATTCATCTCAATATATTACTGTAAGCATAAATTGAAGAGGAAGAGGGTCTCAAGTGCAATGAGACAGGAAGAGCTCATGAAGTAGGTTATGCAAGATAGCTGAATGCCTTCCCCACTTCACACATATTCATCTGCCTTTGGAGAACGTCTAATTGTATTTTCCCCTCCAATGACTGGAAGAAAACAACAGTCACACTTCGGTGCAGATAGTGAGCAAAGAAGAAAAACAGTGTGTGGGCTGTATGAATGAGTACAAGCTACCAAGTATGTGATGAATTGAAGATAAGGATTAAAGAGTGAAGGCATGACAGGTAAAGAACTTGGGCTTTTCTCTTTCATACTCTGAGCCATGACAGAGTCTACTCACAACATATAAAGAGAACAAAAACATCATCCTCAATTAAAATTCTGTTGTGCCCCATGGAGGACATGAAATAGGAGGAAGGAGAGAACAATAAAAACAAAGAGGGAAAAATAGATCACTATCTATGAACAGATTTATTTTAATAGAATTTCTTTTTGAAATAGTTACGATCTTTATCTCAAATAGCTGCCACTCCACAATGATATATATTTGTTTCTCTCTGCTGTGGGGTTTTGGAATGTGTGTCAAAATACAGCTGTTACTTCATCAAAGCCTCTATATTTCTATAACCATGTTCTCCATTGAATGACAATTGACTGTGATATAGGAATTCTGTGAGATTTTTCATCTTGACCTCCAAATGAGTTGAGAACGACAGTTTTTGGCATGCCTTTGATATTTAATTACACTGAGCTTGATGATGAAAAATGAAAAAAGATTTGATGAAGAAAAACAAAATGATAATGTAGCACCTCAGAGTACTATTCATGCATAGAAACATGGAATTTTTTATGCACTAATACTGTTATTTTGTTGGCTAAATCCTTTAAGTGCAAAGACTGTGCCATTTTATTTTCTATCTCTAGTGCATAACATAGTGCTGGGCCCTAGAGTACTAGGCATTTAATAACTTCCTGCAGAATAAATTAAAAAATGATTTCAATGAGTGAAAGAAAGGAAAGGTAAGTTCTATTACTGCATAGAACAAAGAGGAGTGGTTTGTGATGAAGCACTTCTGCAACAAGATCTTTGGTCTTCTCAAACATCTGGATTACATCACTCTACACTTTGAGCCTAAGTATAGCCTCAGAATCTTTCCAGATATAGTGGACAAGGCAGCTGCACTCTATTTAATCACCATTTGAAATAGTGAAACTATTTCCTATCCCTAAAATAGAGGCCTCTATCAGGTAAACTATGAAAAGAAGGCAATTTTCCCAAAATTGTCCTCTGGTATCCACATCCATATTAACAGTTCAGATCAGCAGACATCCAGAAACATGTATATTTTAGAATTTGTTATTCTGTCATCTTCTCCTACAAGTTACAACTCACATCTTTCAATGGTTTGTTTCCACCAAAACTCATGCATAGACTTAGTCCCCAATGTGGCCAAGTGAAAGGTATTTGAATCATGCAGACAAAATCTTCATGAGTGATTCATCTTTCTATGGATTTGATCTAGAATATGACCCAAAGGACCATGCATTAAAAGCTAGTCCCCTGGAGTGGCACTATTTGCAGGTGTGAAACCTTAACATGGTAGCGCCTAGTGGGAGGTTTTAGTCACCCAGGGAGTGCCCTCAAAGGGAGTTGTGGGACCCTCACCTCTGGCTTGCTTCACCATGTCTTCCCTCTATGATGCACCCACCCAGACTCAAAACAATGAGGCCAACCAGCCATGGACTGAAACCTCTACACTGGGAGCCAAAATAAACCTTTTCTCTTCATAAGTTGGTTCAGCTCAGGTATTTGTTATAGTAACGGGGACCTCACTAACACTGTGCCTTTCTCTTGTGAGTTCTCATAATAAAGAACTGGATTAGTCACCACAAAAGTAGCTTCTTAGAAAGCAGCCCCTTATTTGGCCTCTTTTGTTTGCTTCTCTTTCTGCTTTCCACCATGAAAAAACATTATGAGGCCTTGATCCAGAACAGACAGTAGACACCCAATCTTAGACTTTTCAGTCTCCAGAACCACAGCCAAAATAAACCACTTTTCTTAAGTTAAGCAGTCAGCTTCAAAAATTCTGTTACAACAAGAGAAAATGAGCCAAGACACATCCATAATACTTGGGAAGATCACAGGCTCAGCACAATACAGTGTTTTTTGGTGTCCTTGTTGTAAGTAAAACTAATTTGTGAACTTATATTATTATCAGAGAGAACCTTAATTATTTCACTTTTTATCAGCTTTTTTTTCTTCCAGGGCTAGATTTGGACTCATTACTCCATCGCCCTTCTGGCTTTTAAACCTAAATTTATAGAATTGTTTAAAATGTCTATAATTTAAGATGCCTATGCTTCATTTAATCATTTTGAACCAAGTTACTCTTCTAAACCTGACTGTTAATGATCAATGACTTAGTCAAGGTCAAGTTTGAACTGGTATACTACCTTGGGAGTTTTTCAAATGTCTCTTCCTATTTATGAACGCAGGGATGCACCACAAAACCTTCCAAAAGTTCTGCCCACTCAAAAATATTTATGGAGTATTTATTTTATTTGAAATACAGCGGTAAGAACCAGAGATAACTAGGAATGAAGTTAACAGAGAGCATGCATGGAGCTTAAGAGAAGAACACTCCCAAATAATTATGCAATAATTATTGAATCAAAATACAACACAAGGAAACATGTCTTGGATTCGTGGGTCAGGAAAGGCTCAAACAAGTGTCAAAAGATAGGCAAGAATGAAATAGTTAAGCAGTTAGAAGTTAAGCGTTCAAGGAAGAGGGAACAGTACATGTAAAGCCTGAAAGGAAAAAGACAGATGAACCTGGTAAAAGCCCAGCATAGCTAGGAGCACCAGTGCATGCCTGTACTCCTAGCACTTCGGGAGGCTGCGGCAGAAAAATCACAAGTTTGAACAAATTAAACAAGACCAGGGACATAGCTTAGTATGAAGGCCCTGGGTTCAATTCTCAGTATCCCCACCAAAAAAAGTCTAATTTTTTGTTGTCATAATTGACAAGTAAAAAGGAAATTAAAAAGTGGTAAGAGAGAAGGTAGGAACAATAGTTAGAAGACTTTATATGGGGCCACGTAGGCAATGTTTTTTCTCTTTATATGAGATGGAAAACATTGAGGAGCTTTAAGCAGGGAATAAAGTATATTTCTTAAGATTAGTCTGGTAATGTGGAGAACAATAGAAGAAGGAGT